AGCCTCTCAGTACAGTGACTGCCACACATCTGTCAGGATAAAGTAAGAAGTACTGAAGCGTCCTGAGGGAGAGGGAGATATCAGTGTTTTGTTAGCATTTTGTCAGAATTTATGTAGAGTAGCACTCCTGTCAGATAGTGCGTGGGCTCCTATTACGACTGAAATAGTAGGCAGCCTATTTTAGCAGAAAAGGGTGTCACAGCACCTCACATGGTACGCGGTTTGTGAGAGGGAACATGTTGCCAACTGAGTAAATACGAGGTTTTGCATTTGCTTCCTTCGCCCGACGTTTCTCGAAAGTTTTCCATCGCGCAAGAGATCATCGGGTTTGCTGGGTGAATTTAGCTCTTTGTTTGCCGGGTTGCACTGGGAGTTGGAGACTCACATACAAAGGAGAACAGAAGGCAGATGGAGACGTAACAGTGAGGGAAAGGCCACACCGCCAGCAGCAGAATAGATGTACTGCGCTGCAGACAGCACTGTCTTGCTGTGAAAAATTTCCTTTGATTTTGAGTGTGGAGTCTCATATATGCGCACACACACACACACACACACACACACACACACACACAGATAAAACTCGTGAAAGTAAAGATGGCCCTGATTTGACAAAAGAAAGAACTTAATCTCACATTTGTTTTTAAATTTTAAAAACATACATTTATTTGTGATGTTTCAGATCTAAATGTCGACACTTACAGTAAAGACTCCAGCAGTGTCTGCACCAAGGAAAGTCATTTTACTGTAACATTCACACACACACACACATACACATTAACACTTGCTTCACACATCCCCAAAACCTGCGAAAGATAGTCCCACCTTTATGTACAACTCAACATTGTGTTATGTTTATTCGACAAGCACGAAGTCTGTGACGAATTAAGATCATGGTCATCGTCAGGTTGCAGAAAAAGCGTCCCATCCATCTTTGCTATGCAGCGATGACAGCTGATTGGCTCAGATAGTGACGCATTCATGCTTTAAAAAGAAACACTGTATGAATTTCCTCATGGTTTCAGTCTGATTTCTTCATTGTCCCAAGAGGGTAGTTAAATGCAACATACAGCATCAACAGGGCTATGACACACTGTGTACAATGTCAGCTCTCTTCACCGACTGACGTGTTCTCCTGACATAAGAGCTGCGAGCCAGTCAAGTGGCTGTAATGGTGATTTTGTTGGTTGGTGTGCACTTATTGCTTCTTTCTAAAAAGAGCTTTAAGTGTTCCTTGCTTGACTGTAATACCGTGAGAGTATCATTATATTTGAAAAAAAAGCTGTATTCTTTTCTCTGACCTCTCACTTCAGAAGACTCTCGAGCCGAATCAGAGAACATACTTGACAGGCATGTACACTTCAATCATATGGTTTGGACTCAAGTGAGCATCAGATCGAGAATTTAATAAGATTCCCCGCTTTGACTTTAGCACTAACGCCTCTTGACGTATATAGCCTCAAGTTAATGACTTGAAAAACTTCCCAAGTCCAAAGCATAAGATGTTCAGGTAGTCCCTGCAGCATGTTTGAGAACGGAGCAGACACTCGGGCCTATATGAAGGTAATAGCACTCGTTTTGATGCCCTTTTGAATGAATGGTTGTACCCTCTGAGAGGGTTTACTTTAAAGGTTTTGGATCTAAATAACTTTAGAAGAAGAAGGGGAAAGAAAAAAGACAGGTGTGGGTTGCCATGGGATGAGAGCTTGTACTGATAGTCTTTGTATGATATTTTATTTAATAGGAAGACGAACTGACACTTCCACTGTTTGGTTTTCAACACAGAATACACCTTATTTGATTTGTAATTGCACTGCAATGATTGATTGTGGTTGTGCGAGTGTTTCTCTCAAGACCAATCAATGGTCATAAGCATTTTCTTTTTACAACATGAACTGAAAGACATTGTTTCTTTCTAAAATGTTATAGTTAGCATTTCTCTCCGGGTTCTCCGGCTTCCTCCCACACAGTCCAAAAACATGTTGAGGTTAATTGGTGATTCTAAATTGTCCGTAAGTGTGAATGTGAGTGTGCTTGGTTGTCTGTCTCTAAGTGTGGCCCTGTGATAGACTGGCGACCTGTCCAGGATGTCCCCTGCCTTTGCCCTGAGTCGACTGGGATAGGCTCCAGCCCCCCCGCGACCCTAGTGAGGATTAAGCGGTGTATAGAAAATGGATGGATGGCTGGATGAATAGTTAGCATCAAGCACCAACCCTGGCATCCAGACATTTAAATATTAGTTCAAAATCCCCTTTTGCTGTTGGTACTCCTCCTTGAACATCTAAGAAACATTTTTAATTTGTTCAACTTTGTTCACCATCTAGTTGATGATTTTGCCTCTCTATGGTTTAGTGCAGTACAGGTAGCATGCAGTGGGTATATCCAAGCTTCTTTTTTTTTTTTTTTTCTGAAAACAATGGCCTGCCGCAGCTGAAAGTGAGGTTAATGAGAGCATTGAGACTGAACCATAGAGTCATTTTCAGGCCATAAAACCAAAACAGTGATGTGAAAATAGCTTCTTTTAAGCTCTCTGGAGGCCGGGTTGGTTAATAAAAGTCTCATGGCTTCATCATGGCAAGCATCCCTTTCAAATTACATGTAGTAATTCAATTCAGTGATATTATATAGAAATATTGATGGAGCTTTAATCATGCAAGTCTGATAAATAATGACTGGGGATCTGCCAATCCGGTTTTGTATTGTTTGATCATCTCGTTAAGACTTTATAGACTGAACTACATTATAAGAGCTCAGTCTATGATCTTAGACCACAAGGATTTAAATGAGCTGCAGTACAGTGGGTTACAGTATGATGTGCAGCACACTGTTCAGCCGAGTACCATATCTTGAACATTAGGGGGGGAAAGGAGAAAACTGGCAGCAAACTTTAAGGCACAATAAGAAAAAGTACCATTTTAGTGTGCATTTAGGTTTAAATGCCTTTTGATATTAACACTGTGGTTGGAAAATAAAATCATCTGACAGGATAGCTCTGACTGAGTGATTGTTCCATCGAGCCAGCATCAAAGTTTTTCTTTCCAGATTTCTCAGAGTGCCCTGATCCTTGAAATTTATTGCACTGAAACTATGATCCCTAATTGGTTATAAAAAAAAAAAAGAAGAAGAAGAAGACGACAGGAAAAAAAAAAAAACCCTTGTGCTGAGTTTTTGTTAGGAAAGCCTTTGAAAGAGTGTGCAAAGTGAATTTAGCTCTATTGAGGATGATTTCAAAGCTGCTTTTTTTGTATGGTCAGCACATGTGAGAGGTCTTTTATCCTTCCAAAAAGGCTGGAGGAATGAGACAGTCTGAAGCCCACTGACTCAGATCCCTAATGTCTGTGCACAGCTCCTCACCCCCAGTGAGAGGTCACACAGAAGAACCGGGACTCACGCACAACACAAACACTCACACGCGCGCACACACGCACACAAACTAAGATTTCAGGAAGCTTATGCTGCATTTAGTATCAGTGAGCTGGGATGAAAGTCAAGGTTGCAGGCTGCAGTGAAGTCAGAATCGAAGAGATGTGCATGTGTGCAATTTTATATTTGCACTTGCTAAACCTGAATTTGGCCTACAGGCTTTTTTTGTGGGCTACATGAACTCTGATTATATTAGCTGTCTCCTCACCTCAGCATGCTCTAGCTATGTCTGCCAATCCGGAAAGTGCTGAACTTTTCACCTCCTATGCATTTTAGCACCGTGTTCGCAAATCATGTCGGCGCTTTATTCTAACAAGGAGCTGAACCTGAACGTGTGCTGAATGTGGAGGTAGAAGGTATCATCTCCACTCTTTACTACTGCTGTTTATGATCTGTTCTTTGTCGGAGACGGGTACACGTCTTTGTTTTTCTGTTATCAGAGTCACGGTGCAGGATTAGTCACAGTAACACCAGCTTTTTTTTTTTTTTTTTTTGCACAACAAGCTGCCCCGCCTCTGTTCATGACCTCTGTGAGGATGGAGGCTAAGTGCTATGATTTGTGTCCTTTCAACACCCGTACTGTTTCGGCCTTTAAGATGCGTAAACAACCTGAAAGAACAAACAGCTTTGAAACCGTCCTCAATAGAGCTAAATGAGATTTCCTTTCCGACAGCCTACACATAACATTTGTTCCACCTCTGCTTTTCCCTCAGCCAGTAAAACACACACTCAGACGTAATAATAGCACCTACCGGAATGCCATGGAGCGTCAGGCATTGTTCATCCTTACTCAAAAGCAAAAAAAAAAACAAGCCGAAAAAAAAAAACCCTCCTCCGTTTATTCTGTTCCACTTTTACAATGCTTTCTCATTATTTCCATTCAGTATTGCAGCAGTACAACCTTTTCCCCGGCAGTAGGTGGGCAAATCAGTAGCTTCCCTTCTGTCTGCTTGCTGAAGTGGCAGGTATTGAGTAGTTCTATTAGCCCGGCACTAACATGAACATTTCCTCTGCAAACTCTTCCTTAATAACACTGTTTGGTTGGCACGCTCACATCCTCAGGAGAGGAAAGGAAAATGCAGTTCAATAAGGGACATTTTGAATCTTAGAGTGCACTGTTAGATACAGAAAGTGATAAATAAGATTGTATTATTTCCCTTTTTATGAATCTGTACATGTTCTGCAGTAGATGTCTGGCGAACAGTTGAACTGCACATTGAAAATAATTAAAACCCTTTTTCTTCATTGCAGTTTTACAGTAATTGCCGCCATGGGTCACAGAATTTCCCCTCACGGTTTTCTCTCCAGTTTTTTTTTCTGTTTCTTACAGAATATTGAATGCAACATTTGCATCTGTGAAATAAATAAACACAGATCCACAGACAAGGAGTGTTTCCCATGAGATTGTAGATTAACAGTAAGCTGACACTTGCATCGAGAAGGAACAAAATTCCAGTCAGTTCAGGCGGATAAATACTAATAAGGGAGAGTTTTATTTTTTTTTTAATTTAAATAAAACTTTCAAAACTTTTACGATCAGGTATTAAGTGCTTTTATGTTCTTATATATATTTTGTGCAGGTGGGAACAAGCTGAAGGGGCAGCAGTTTCGTCTGGACTGGGCCTGGATCTCTCTGGAGAAAGAGTACTATGTGGTGGACGAGGAGGACAAGTTCCTGGACGTGGTGCTCAGACGCAGAGGTTACCTGGGAGAAACATCTTTCATCGGTGAGTCTGTCATCTTGTGTTTTTAGCCACACTAGCATGATGCTTCTGATGTCAATGTCCGTCCATCACTTTGGTCCAAATGGCAATATCACAGCCACTGCCAGATGGATCACCGCAACCTTTTGTACAGTCATTCATAGCGCCCAGATGAAAAATCCTAAGCACTCTGATGCTTCGGTGACTTTTCCTCTGCTGCTACACTGACGTTTTAGTTTTGAGTAAAATGTCAACAACTGTTGGAAAGATTGCAGTGATGCTTGGTGCATTCTTTCCCCCTTGAGTGTCTTGAGTTGCTAATTTGTCCAATATTTAGTTTTTGGATACTTTTAAAACAAATGCCATTTCCATCAGCCTCCTCCTTTGTGTTTTGTGCTAATTTGTGAATGTTAACACGCTGAAGAAAAGCTGGGCAAACATTACACCTGCCAAATATTGTATTGACATGAGCATTTTCATTGTGAGTGTGTTGGCATGCTGACATTTGCTCGAAAGAAGTGCATCTTCACAGAGCTTCTTGCATGGCTGTAGCCAATTTCTCACTGTCTTCTTCTCTGTAGCTTTCCCTAAACTTTCATTACTTTACATTACTGTAATTGTCAGGTTTTTCACAGCTCTACGTTCATCTTTCTCTATATACCAGAAGTAAAGCACCTTATTTTTCTCGCGTGTTATTTGTTTGCTGATTGATGGGATGCATAGTTCTATCATTTGCTTCATTGCGATGCTTTTGCACCTGTCGTATCCCTGGAATACTCCTCTCCGGTATACATTTGCAAACCAAACATTCGAAGCCAAACATTTCCTTTCAACACTGTAACCAGATTTCTCCTCTTAGTCAAAGTAATTCTGTTTGGCCTTGGACCAATTCAGAGTTTGCAGAAAGAATGTTTTTATGATTTTTTAGGAAGCCAAATGGGTTAGCTGTAAGGTCAGTGTAATGCCATGTGCAGAGATGTAACCTTTTTCTTTGCTCTCACATGGAGGGAAAACAATGTCAAGCAATGTCTTCTCTGCACAAGATTGCTTGTGACACGTTGTTTCCTTGATGTTCAGAGTTCAACTTATTTGTCCCAGATGGGCAAATAAGGCTGTGAAATAAGCATCAAAACAAGCATATATCAAAAAGCAGTTAAAATCCTTATATATGCTACTGAGATTACATCAAGTTTCCAATAAAATAACAACACTGATGTCATTACTATTGCAATCCACCTCATCTTCTCCTTGTCTCCAAGTAAAGCAAAGCTGTAGATATGCGAGAATGTTGATCTGTTTATAGTTTTTTGAGTTGGAGGTTCCCAAGGCTCAGACACACCAAGGTCTCATTCAGTTTTTCAGCAGTCTATAACTGATCATTGTAGCTCTTACAGTAAAGGAATTTCACTCTTTGACTGCCTACTGGTTATTCAACGAGAAGAATTCATCCTTTTGGTGAAGTTTCTTTTTACTCTTCACGACTGCCTTTATTTCTTTGTATTACTGACAAGTGCGAAGCAAAACGTTGTTGAGTAGGTTGCATGCTTTTTTTTTCTTTACCACGCACATTTACTTTGTCTAATTAAAGAAGATTCATAATAGTTAGAAAAAAGGTGACTAATTTGATTTCCGCAGTGTTATCTGGAGTAGGGGGCAGCATATCGGTGCTGTGATTAGAGCTGTTGCCTCACAGTTAAAGACTTCTGGGTCTGAACCTGCTGCTCAGCTGGGCATGGATGTTTTTTGTTTTTTTTGTCCCTGTGTCACTTTCTCCACGGTCCAAAGGAATACAATGCAAGTGAATTCGTGACTGAAAATGAGTCATGCCAATGTGAAGCATGTTTGGTCACTGAAAAGCAAAATATCATTCTACTTAGTGCTTCAAGTTAAAAAAGCTCTTTTTAAAATTCAAGTTCATTGATCGAACCTAACTAGCATGTGAATGGCTACTCTTTGCCTTTAGCTATATTAAAGTACCCCTCTCCGGCCATTGATTAAATGCCTTCAGACTCATTTCCATGTTGCAAAATTACACATTTAGACATTTTTAGCATTAACTGAATTCCTTAATGCCTTAAAAATGGCTTAGATGTAATTCTACATGCTCTATAAACTCTATAATGTGCCTCTTTCTTCACCAATACCTTTGCCTCTTGCTGCAGCTCCAGCACACCAGTTCACCTACGACTACGCTCAAATGCTGTAAAACTGCTCTGTGTTACACAATGACAAGTTCCAATATTGGAGCAATTCCGCTAGCATTCATGCTCCAACTGCTGAAGGCTGGTGGTTTGCTCCCTCTGGGTTGGGGTTGAAGTTGCTGCCCCAAGGAAAGGAGTTCAAGTATTACAGGATCTTGTTCATGTATGACAGGAAAATGGAGCATGAGATGTATGGAGAGATTGGTGCGGCACCAGCAGTAATGTCCTGCTGCAGTGCTGTACTGGACGGTCATGGTGGAGAGGGAGCTGAGCCGATTTACCAGTCACTCCATGTTCCAACCCCATACCTAAGGTCTTGGGCTTTGTGTAGTGACCAAAAGATTGAGGTCAAGGATACAAGCCGTCAAAATGAGTTTCCTCTGTAGGGTAGCTTGGCTCAGCCTTAGAGGCAGGGTGAGGAGCTCAGGCATTCGTAGGGAGCTCAGAGTCGCTGCTCCTTCGTGTAGAAAGGAGCCAGCTGAGGCGGTTGGAGCATCTGATTAGGCTGCCTCCTGGGTGCCTCCCTTTGGAGGTTTTCCAGGCACATTCAACTTTGAGGAGACCCTGGGGTAGACCCAGAACTCCCTGGGGGAGATTACGTATCTCAGCCAAGCCCTGGATAAGCAGAAAAAAATGGATAGATGAAGGGATAGATGCTCCAACTGGGTACCGATTCAAAAGGAGAGTAATGATAGTCCCAAACCCCGAGTTGCAGGATTGTTTAAGAATGAAATACTGAGACTATCATCGGCACACTGTAGTTTCAAGGCAGAAATACTTAACCATGGTGTTGATTGGTTATTTTGCTCATGACGTGTCTTCCAACATATGAAAAGCACCTTATGAACATGTTAACAATATACAAAAAACTTGATTTTTCCCAGACAGGCTGTAAAATGTCTTGTCACAGCAGTTGATAATTACACAGTGAACATTTTGCCCGTGTTTAGAAAACTCACAATAAGTGAGTCATCATAAAACTTAAATTTAAAAGTAAGTTCAATGCCTTCAATACTCATTACGACACAAAGTGGGCAGAAAGCACATTGCCGTGTGTCGCTCAACTCTCAAATCCAGCCAGTTAAACAAACATCAATGCCAGAGTTTCTAATAAGCTTTTTTGCCCAGCAGATGGAGGTGATTTGATGTTGGGAAGAACAGCCCAGCATGTTTTTGTGCTTATGTCTGAGTGTTTGTGAAGGTTCGAAGGTTAAAAAGGATGATGATGATGCCGTCCCTGAACGCCCCTCTGACTTTGTCATGCTTCAGCTCGTTTGCTCTGGGAGAAGCAGCAGCTGTAAGCAGCTTTTACTCTCTCTCACCCCTCATCATCATTCTGATCCCTGTTAATCATATGGTTAGGTGTTAGCATCGCAATGTAGCAGTTTATGTAAGTTTTAACACTTATCTACCTGTGTGTGTGTGCACATGTGCATATTTAATTCCTCTTTGAGAAGGTTTTGAGTGTATCTCTTGGGCACACATGAAAGCTTGCGTTCTGACTCTCATCTCTTTGCACAGTTGGTGTGTGAGCACCTTGTTATCTCCTACTACACACACATAATACACACTCGCATACGCACACACGCCCATCCACTTTCAAGCCAGCTTTTTAAAAGGAACGTCTAACATGGTCTGTTGACGTGGTGCTAAAATGCATCAATATGAAAGTGCTTTTCGTGTAGGCCGATGTAGCGCCGCGTTTTTAGCTGGGGCAGTTTTTTTATGTGTAAGTGCAAGGCTTGAAGAAAAGGAATATTTATTGTTGCCTTAAGAAAACAAGCGCATGTTCTAAACCGTCAAACTTAAGTCACTCAAGCAACAGTGTTTGTGTCTCGTGACTCAAATGAATGCTTGTGTGTCTGTTCAAATGCTGTCAAAGAAATATGGTCAAGCTAAAGGCAACACTGAATGAAAACCTGAAAATGATCAGTTGTAACTTTCCTAGATTCCAATTTAAATTCATTTAACAAACGTGTGTGTGTGTCTTGGCTCCTCCTGACCAACTTAGCTTTTATGTTTTTGGCTCATGTCTCAGTGATTTCTGAGTGTCTGTCTTTGCCACAGTGCATAGTTTTGCAGTCTGCATGAAGGACGCACTCGACTGGCCTTTGCAAAGGCTGCCTCGCTCTGCCTTGATGCTGGTCATTGTCAGCTGAAATATATTGCTGATAGTGCTCAAGTAGCAATGCCGCTCCTTTGTATTGTTGCCTCTGTAATATACAACAGAAAACAATAATGAGAAACAATGTTAGCTGCAAAGGCAACTTCAACAATCAGAAATCATACCAATGTGACACCAAACAGATTGATTTATTCAAAGGTATCTTTACTATTTAAACTCTGTTGTCAAAATTCAGACCCCCACCGTTAAAATACAAAAAGCTATGGCAGTCAGAAAATATGTATCAAAGTATTAAAGTTATACGAGAGACATTTTTTTCCAGCACATTGCATTAGAAAAAAAACACAAACTCTAAAGGTTAAAGCATCAACAGCTTTATTGAATCGTCTTTCTTTAAGAGTTTTCACTTCCACATCAACATCACGTACACATCCATATAATATATTTGGTAGTGGACCCTTTGTCTGACATCTTTGACACACAGATGTCAGCAGTCACTGGGTTCTGCAATCATTTTCAGTCTGGACTTAATAAACACATCATCTGCTGGACTGAGGTCAGGCAGATGACCTAAAGTTATATAAAACTGAAATAAATCAGCAATTCCTTGCACTTGAGAGGCCAGAACTACCACACTTTTTGACATTTTGTTGAAGAATGACTGTAAGAATTAATTGATGAATCAATTATTCAAACTT